TGAGAAAATGTATTTTCCCTAGTAAATACTTTCGTACAAATTTGGCGATCATCGTGCTAATTTTTGCTATACACGTGTTAATATTATTGGCATAATATATTTTTAATTATTTTATTTGTTGAATAAAGTAGGGTTTGTTGCAGCACAATGTTAGTCAAAACATATTCACTGTATTTTAGTGTAAATCCAAGTGTTTATATTTTTCTTGGTATATCATATTTTATCCAATAAATTTCATTAATATTTTAGATTTAATTCATTAGCTATTCGAATTTCCAGAACACTAACAATTCCAATAAAATGAGTACATGCGTGTGTTTTATACTCGTATTGTAATATTTATTTCACTTCATTATTAATGAATTATGAAAAATTATATTTCAATCGATTTAGACGTGTCCGAAAATGTACACAATTTTTCACTCAATTAATCATTTAATTATGAATTTATCCGGTTTACGTTTTTAATATCCCAAATTTAAGTTTAAGTTTAATGTTTTGGTTTATGAATCTATTGCGTTTATTTAATTATTTCTATGATTCAATAATAGAAATTATATAATTTTAGTATATCAAGATACGTATGTATTATTATCTCTTTACCTTCTAATTTTTATGATTGTAAATGTTTACTATACAAGAGAAATTACATCGCATTCGTTTACAAAACGCAGGTGTCATAATCGTATCTCACGATGAACGGCTGATTCGTGAAACAGAATGTACGCTTTGGGTTATTGAAGACCAGACTATTAATGAGGTGGACGGTGATTTTGACGACTATCGGAAAGAGCTTTTGGAATGCCTGGGCGAGGTTATCAATAGTCCGAGTATCGCGGCTAATGCAGCTGTTCAACAGTAACATAAACACTACCAATTAATTTTATATTACCTTTATTGGTCTGTACGTGTGTGTTAAAATATTTGCGATTACATTATATGATGTTGTTGTTGATGTATTTGTGATAATATTATCATCTTCGAATGTTGTAATTTACTGTAATTCCTATATACGTGCCTTGTTTACACAATATTAATAAATAAAACAACATTAAGATATTGAATTTTTTTTTATAGGTAACTGTGACTTATGGTACTATTTAGTATTAATGGCTAGTAATTAACGCACACTCAGAATTTGCAGCCCTTCAGGTATATTCAATTAAGATTTAACAAAATATCCATATAGTTTGCGTGAACCTTTATTATTTATACTACAGTACCTACTCTATTTCCTTGTGATTTATTTACCTTAGTAAAGCACGACGGGGATGACATTGTTCATTTTAAATACATGTAAAAATGTAGATATTTCGAACTTCAAATAACTACTAAAATAGTACACTTACAAAATTAAACTTTTATTTGATTTTATAGAATCTATGTAACATATTTTTATCTATCTTAGATTCTGGATTTGTTTAAGATTACTCAAAATGAAAATGCAAATACTGCCAATATCCATTCTGTACACTATAATAATTAATGGTAAATAATAAATTATCGTGTTAAAACTTGTTTATTTTAGTACAAGAAGGTATTTTTTTTTTTATTTGTTATTGAAAACATTTCAATAATAATAATTACAGTGACCTTTCAAACAACAGTGACAAAATACGGATTTACACGGTGTAGTGAAAGTCGGCGACCTCTACCATCGTATTCACTACCGAGGTAAGGACAATATACAATTACAAAAGCTGTTAATTTAGTCCGTCTCATGGTCTTAATTATAGACAAGGCATGATTTAGACATTTTCAGACTCTTAGGCAAAATTAAAAATGTGCCATTTTACCCTGATAAGGATTATTTATTTATTTTTTTGAAATATTATATTTTGATTATATTTATTTTATACGATGAATGTAGTATACAAAAAAAAAAGTTCATAAAAATCCAAGGCCTTTTAAAAATTATTATAGGTAGTTTCCTATCCTGCCTAATGGTAAACATAACCCAACTCATAAAAAATGTAAAAGTTATCTTCTCGAAATTGAAGTCGCGTACAGTGATATGACATACCTACCATATTTGTGTTCGATGGTTAAGCAGAGGAGAGGTTTTGAAACGATTTTTTGTTTTACGAGAAGAAATTTACTTGTTCATCTTGGACAAGGAAAACATATTTTCGAAGTTAAAAATGATAATAGGTTGTAGGATTTAGTATTTCTTACTTGTTGTGGTTTTGTTTTTCGTCGGAAAAAAATAATAAAAATAAAGTATATTTAGAACAACTAAATAATAGATATTGAAAATAAATTTTGATAGTTTTAGTATAATATTGTCACACTATTTTTTTGAGGAGGGTCTAAGCCCCATCTCAAATATCCCTAAACATGCCTACGATCAGCTACATTACATAATTTATCTTATAAAGTGCCCTGGCCATAAATATATGATGAATTTGCCATTGTTCATACAGACGTAACAACACATTTTAATATTTAAAATTTAATATTACAAGGACTTGGAAAATTCATATGTAACATATTTAATTCCGTCAGAGCATTTGTTGCAAAATAAAATTACTTATCAAATTAAGGCAGTGATTTCAGTAATTTTGAAAACTATAAAAAACTTTAAAAAAATATTTTAGAATAAAACAAATTCAATATATTCAGCATACCGATTTGTAAATATATTTAACAAATTGCATTCCGATATTTCATCTCGATTCTCGGATTTTAAATTAGGTACACGAAAAATCATTGCGTTTATTTAAAAATTAATTTAATACTAATGTCTAACTATGTCGATACTACTTTTCAATTTGAAACTTATGGAGTTGAAAATCAATTAATTTTACTGTGATAAATTTCATAAAATTAAAAAGATACTTAACAATTTAAAATTGTATTCAAAACTTCCATACGAAGATTTTCCTGCTATGAGGACATTATCATGATAAAAGCAACTGTACTTAGCTCGACATAAATATGCAAACAAATATTTTCACGAATAAAACAAACAAAATCAGTTCATAAATCGCGACTTACGGTTAAATACCTTAATTCAATGTTGAGGATTAGAACAACTAAATTCCAACCAGATTTTTCATTATTATTAAACGAAATACAAGCTCAAATTTCACATTAAAAATAAATATAAAACATTTTTATATATTATTAACTTTTATTATTATTATAATTATTATTATTTTATTTTTGAAATATTTAAAAGAATTCATAAACTAATATAAAATCATATTTGTAATAATTTTACTTTTTTTTTAATATTTAGTTTTATTTTAAAATATACAACGGGACACATGTGCCCCGCGAGCCGCAGGTTGGTCAATTGTCGTCTACAAGTAATTACTATCTATGTTACAATATTAGGCACGCTGGATTGGTTCGGTCGTGATATTACACCAAATAAAACAATTAGCTGTAGGTAATATTTTACTCTTTTCGGTATGAATAATAGTTGGTTTAGAGGGCTGTTGCAGATACTAATAGTATTGTACTAAGTATAGTGGCGAATAACCTATATTATATTTGCATTCGAAATAGCCGCTTTAAGTACATACCTACTACGGCACATTATAATGCGTCTAATAATTTATTATCTAATAATAATAAGTGTGCAGTGATAAATCGATTTTCAATAAATTTTGAGCGTCCATGAAAATATCATATGCACTCGTTGTTCTAACTACTTTTACTGAAATAAATATGTCGGTATTTTCTGATGGTTTAAAATAAATGTATAAACATTGTCGATGTTTGTAATTTTTCCATATTTTTACCCATTGTTTTTTTTTTATTTTGAAAAATCGGCCCATTGATAGGGATTTGATGTATAGAGAATCATCCTCACGGGCGATGTCAGTTTACTTTTGCTTTATATTATTTTTCATATAGTTTTGGGGAAATGATTCCATGACTCATATCAGCAGAAAACCCATATCATCCCAGTGGACTAGTAACTGCGTAATATACTATCGGCACTCCAGTCGTTTGCACCTGAATAAATAATAACTTTTTCCCCGAAAGATGGGTTAATAATAAAGGTGTCAGGTGTAATAATAAAGTTTTCATCTTCGTATGGAAAACATTGTATTAGTCGCTGTACCGTGACTCACCGTGCTACGACACGAAATATATCTAATATTTAATAACAAAGTTTTTATATTGTTGTAATATAAAACATCGCACAGCGTATATTATTAAATATATTTTTTAGATGTTTCGCGTACAAAAAAAAAAAAACAGGTTGTAATAATGAAAAACATTTTTCGAATAAAAACAACTGCATTTTATTATTATCTTTTGTTTTGATGTCGTTTCATCCATTCGTATCATGATATAATATGGTATACTTGCCTACAATGAATTGTATAGTTTTAATTTTTAATTACGCATACGCGATTTCGTGTACAGAAACTAAAACTATAGTATATAAATAATACGTTATGGCCTTAAAGATTATACGTACCCACAACTCCGTATTGGATGCTTCGATAATTGCAATTATAAAATACGTTTGACAACAGAATAATTATAATTGAATAAATCTAGTGTACATATTTTTGGCAATGTTTAACAAAATTATTATGATAAGGTATAGATTTATTATTAATAAATCGAAAGTACACAGGCCGGAATTAAAATACCCGGTGGCCATTATGGTAATAGTCGAAATGGACACATTGTTTTTTTTAAGGATTATAGTTTTACAGTGGTCGTTTTAAATATTTTTGTATTAAATTTTTGAAAACTATCCATCATCGAAGAACATTTATTTTGTTTTGTTAGTTAGGATCTTTGGTCCGAGAAACTCTTATTTATTCAGGTACGTGGAAATTAATTATTTTTCCATGTATATATATATATGTATATAATTTTACGGCTTTTGGATGAATTACGTTTAATCCCGAGAATAATTTAGCTTTATTATCATAATGCTTAATACCGTTTTTAATGCATAATACGTTTTTTTTTAATTTTTGTATAACCAACGAATTGGTTTTATCTGGAATATTAAAAATAATTAATTCGAACAATGTTTAAATTAATTTATACATGAAAATAGCTTAAAAAAATTTAATTAATTAATCGAAACACACGACCACTACAGAAGAACCCCTTTATTGGCTCGTTCTCTCTATTATATACATTTAGCTATAACAATAATAATATAATAATTTGCTTACATAGAAGAAAAAAGAGTTGTTTTATAATTAAAAATGTTAATGCTAGCTTACTTTCTATTGCGACATTAATATGACCTGAATTCGAATTGCTTAATACTACAATAGGGTAACACACATGACCAAGTCATAATTGTACATTATAAATAAGATTATTTGATATGGGTAATGTCATTACATTACTTACGAGTAGGTCAGTGAAATTATTGCATTAAAAAACACACTAAATTGATTGCATTATTGCATTAAAATATATTAAAAATTGCATTGAAAAAAATTTAATTATAATCAATAAAATCAAATATATTAATACATAATAATAAAAAAAATTAATTATGAATATTGCTTACATTATTGCATTTCACTACAAAAGATTTTTTTAAGTTTTCAAAATCGAATGATCGTTTGTTATCGTATAACAAATTTTTGTATTGGGAGAAACTTGTTTCTACGTCAGTAGTTGTTATTGGCGCGTACTTGAAATAGTTTAAATCGTTACTGGTCAAGTCTTCTGGCAAGCCTTCCATTGACTGTATTTCTCCATTTATAATTTTTGATATACGAATAATTATTTGATATCCTTTATTTTTTTTTTTTTGTAAAATAGTTTTGAATTTCTGGTTTATTAATATTCCATTTTGTCCCATAATTTTTCTATTTTAGTTTTAACGTTTTTAACTATAGATAAAGCTTCGATTAATGGAACATGTTGAGTTTCGAGTTTAATGATTTCTGCTGGTATGAAACCATAATTTGAATGAATGAATGCCAAGTTGGTTTCCATAGAACTATCCGACAAAAGATGTTGAGCTTGTTCTATAGAAATAGCGTCATTTGAATTTAATAATTGTATTACTTTTTTTACTTCTACAAAATTTTCACAATAGTAGGACGCGGCTTTTATTC